TCCTTAATTGCAGAAATGTGGCAAAACATCTCTGGAGAGACCCTCAGATTATTACATTCAAAAGTGCTTTCCATATTTGGATCAACATAGGCTACATTTGTGAACGCACATTTTCTGCAATGTCACGCGTCAAGTCACGCTTACCTTACAGACTGCAACTTACAATCGCAACTTCATTGTGCTGTTACTCCTTTCGAGCCGAATTTCACAAAATTGGTCAGCTCCCGACAGCATCAGGTGTTTTATTAATGGGGAGTAGAATTATTTATTTCAATGAATGTAATCGATTAGATATCATAATATTTAGGCTGTAATATTATCAGTTTGGTTTGTATTGGTGACGTAAAATGTAAATGATATGCGTGCGGCCCGTGAGACTTGCACTTGGACCATAGTGCGGCCCAGTGGAAAACAAGGTTGAGAACCACTGCGCTATAGAAATAAAGGTGACTTGACTTGGCGGTGACTGAATGAGAGCAGAATCCGTCTCTGTGAGTGTGTTTATGTTTATCTCCGTGTCAGGTGCTGATGTCGAGCTGCTCGCTGTGCCGCAGCTGTAATTCTCTGGTGTATGATGAGGAGATCATGGCGGGCTGGTCGTCTGATGACTCTAATCTCAACACCACCTGTCCGTTCTGCTCCGCGCCGTTCGTGCCGCTGCTAAACGCAGAGATCTGTGACCTGGGGCCCGTCTGCAGGTAACGCAGAGCTGCTAGAACTAACACCAGATTTAACATTGTTACTTCAAATAAAATAAACATTAACTGAAATAAAATTACATTTATTTTAAAAAAGCAGCATTTCTCATTTTCATTTAATTTACATTTTTTTCAACTGCTTACACACAAAATCTTTACTTGTCACACAGTTTCTGAAAGCTGACACTCAAACAGCAGAAGCACACACCAAATCTGCAAAACCATACGCTAATTCTGGACCTTTGACTCATTTCATAAAACACTTTTGCAAAACACAACACACGATTCTCTATGTAACACACACAAATCTAACAGGAATTAATATTATGGCAAAAGTGTTTGCAAATGTTTGCTCTTGAGATGTGTTTGTGATATTTTGAATGCAGTGCTTCATTTTGTAAAAGATGCGAGGCATTTTGTGTGCAATTCTTGTATTTGTGTGTAAAGTTTTGAAAAAAGAGGCAAAGTTTTGATAATGTGTGTAAGCAGTTGAAAACAAACTGTCATAAAATTATGTGCTAAAATAACTAAAACTGAAATAAAAATTTATTTAAAACACTATATAGACATATTAAAAAAAATAAAATTATTTTGAAACATTATTTATTAAAGAAAATATATTGTTTTATTTAAAGAGTAGATTATAATAATTTCTTCCACATTTTAATTGTTTTAAAAATAAAAAAATAAGGGAAATTCTGCTTTGCTTTGAGAACCTAAAAAAAAATCAAATTTTCAGTCCATTTGATATTTCCGTGATCAGTGAAAGAACAATGAAAGAATCACTGTCTGAAATACTGCTGTCACAACAACTGTTTTTCCAAACTAAAAAAATATATGTTAAAAAATTCTAAACAAATATGTAAAGTTTATCATTGTTTCTGCAACACATGATTTTATATAATTTGCTTTTGTCCAGTACAGCGTCTCTAAGACAATTTTATAAATGCACAAGAAATTTTTATATGAAAATCTAAACTTAGGTTTCCCAAAATGTGGTATGTTATTTACATGATCTGCAGCTTCATGAACTTATGAATACATATAAAATACCAATAGAAGTATCTGAAGTATGAATGAAGTGTCATATGGAATCACATGATCTGTGTGTGTGTGTGTGTGTGTGTGCGTGTG